TAGCATCAGACAGTAAAGAGAAAAGAACAAAGGACAATAGTCCCACTTCACGGAACACCGTAACACAAATATCCTGTCTCCGTCACTTCCCACGATGTGGAGTCAAAACATATACCGTCATGTGATAGACAAAAATCCCATGACTGCAATCATGGAGCAGGAATTCTAACAGGAGCAAGCTTGTTCTCTGCTCCCCTGGAGGGCAGAACTCGAACCCATGGCTTCAAATGGAGATTCCAACTAACATTAGGAAAAACTTCTTGACAATAAGAGCTGTTTGACAGTGGAACGGGCTCCCACGAGGAACCTAAATCTGTTAAGTTATTAACCCCCAGGGCTATCTCCAGGTTTGAGGGTGCACCCGGCAAAGGGGCTTCCGTGAATGCAGTGTGGAAGCTGCTCCAGGTGGCACCATTTAACATTTCCTAAAATGCCCCAACTTCAGGTCATCAAAGCGAAATCCTGTCATGGCAGCAACCTGAAGATGGGGGAGTGTCATAGTTTCATTGCTGAGCAACAATGTGTACTTGCCTGGAGGCAGTATCCAAAGTCAGGTCCAGTCCTTGAGTTGTGTGAACAGCAATCCAGGTGGTCAGAAGGACCAGGGGGTCAGGGAATCCAATGAACATGGGGCCAATGGGCAAGAAGAGCAGGAAGCAGCAAGGTAGGACCAGGAACGACAAGCGTTGTTGCCAGCATCTGACTGCTGCTGGAAGCTCTGCTTAGGAAGGCTGAAGCCAGCTGCTTCTCACCCATGCCTTCTCTGCTGAGTCCCTGAAGGCTGAACAGCTGCAGGTGGAGTCCGTCCACCTTCTCCTGTTCAGCAGGCGAAGCTGACTCCTGGCCCATGACACTGGGCACCAATGCCAAGCTGGTTTACCATGGCTGCTGATGTGGAACCTCCATACTCAATGGCAGTATACCTCTAAATACTGGGAACAAGACACCTATTGTCTTCATGCCCTGCTTACACACCTCCCAGGAGCATCCAGTAGGAAGCAGGACTTGGTTTGATTCAGCAGAATGCTTGTGTTTTTATGATCTTATACGGTTTCCCAAACTTGGGTCTCCAGTTTGGACTTCAACTCCCATCGTCCCTAGCTAGCAGGATGAGTGGTCAGGGATGATGGGAACTGTAGTCCAAAAGCAGCCAGAGACTCAAGTTTGGGAAGTCCTGTCTTAGATCAACAATAAATCTTCTTGAGTCAGTACCAAATCTGAGTACAGTCATACCTCGGGTTAAAGTAGCTTCAGGTTAAGCATTTTCGGGTTGCGCTCTGCGGCGACCAGGAAGTAACGGACATATTACTTCCAGGTTTTGGCACTCACGCATGCACAGACACTCAAAATGACATCACACGCATGCGCGGAAGTGGCGAAACGCGACCTGCGCATGCGCAGACGCGTGTTACGTTCTACTCAGGATGCAAACGGGGCTCCAGAATGGATCCCGTTCGCATCCAGAGGTACCACTGTACAGTCATAATATAACTGAGGATTAAAGTAGAAAGGGATACATGCTAGGTATGTGTAGATATCCCACAAGTGTCTTCCTTTTTTGTGAGGAAGGGCTGCCTGCCGCTGGGGACAGAGCTATAGCAGTAAGAAACTCCAGGGTGGAGCAGTGTGTGTGTGTGTGTGTGTGTGTGTGTGTGTGTGTGTGTGTTTGAAGGGTGCCCAGATCATATCCTATGTTTTTCCATTGAGCAGAGGAAAATACATTTCTTGGAAATATGTTCTCTCTCTCTCTCTCTCTCTCTCTCTCTCTCTCTCTCTCTCTCTCAATAACTCATTCTATAATTGGTTTAAGGGAGAAATGGATTATTCTCAAAATGCATTTAACAGCCCTAGCAATAGGGACATCATTTAATATTTGCACACTTCTGGAAATGATTAAAGTGTGTCAGAATCTGTCTAGAATCACCTGTGTAATTTGCAGCAAATCAGACCAATTTGAAAATGGATGGGGGCTGGGACTACTTACATGGGGAAGGACTTCTCTCCCTGAAAGCTGTGATTATTCAAAAGGCCTCAATTGTAAAGCTATCAAGAATGGGGTACTTTTGAACCATAATAGAATCACTAACGATGCCCTTTTATATATCAAGCTATATATAGGTTTATATTTAGCTTCTTTTCTTTCTTTCTCTTTTTTTAAAAATGAGCTTCAGAAAAACAATTTACACAAGAGAAAACGCCGCTTTCCCCTTTTATTCTAAAACGATTAACCCAATTTTATTAATATTCCTTGGATGACCTTCATTTTTGTGTAGATGAATATCTAAACCATCAGGGGAGCAATGTACTAAGTTATAGTGAAAGGGGGAACTGAGTTATCAATATCAGGAGACTTATTTAATCTTTTTAAAACTTGCCTAGTATGAAATATTCAAATTGATTTTTTTTTATTTCTTCCTTTGTATTTAGACACATTATATATTTCAATCCTCATTCCTCTAGAATTTTCTCCCCACGTAGAGGATTTGCTGATGAAAATTATATGTGTATTCAATAATCCTTCCTAATCATTACCCCTTGAGAAATGTCCAGTTGTGGACGTATTTTGTACACATGCGAAATTACCGTCTCTTCTAAGACCGCAACATTTTATGAATTCTGTCTGGACCTGTCCTCATGAGGAACTCAATGGAACAACAACAAAAAAAAAGGTCTTCAGGTGATTTTCTGCTGGGACATCCTGTAGTCATTTGCTTAGCTACTGTGGGAAGGGAAGCAGGGTGGCTGATTACTAGGTGGACCTGAGACATGATCCACTGAGGGTGCTATCTTTAGGTGTCAGGCAAAAACACTCCTCTTTACCCAGGCCTTATTAAGCCATTAAATAATCTATGGCCTGTTAAAGCTGGGGCTGTTACTACGATTATTTCATTATTATGCTGTCTGTTATTAGAAGAAGAAGAAGGGTTTGGATTTGATATCCTGCTTTATCACTACCCGAAGGAGTCTCAAAGCGGCTAACATTCTCCTTTCCCTTCCTCCCCCACAACAAACACTCTGTGAGGTGAGTGGGGCTGAGAGACGTCAAAGAAGTGTGACTGGCCCAAGGTCACCCAGCAGCTGCATGTGGAGGAGCGGGGAATCAAACCCAGTTCACCAGATTACGAGTCTACCGCTCTTAACCACTACACCACACTGGCTCTATGCTTTTTATTATGCTTTTATTATTGATGTTCCTTGTTCTCAATGTTACCTATACAGCACTATTGGGTTGGGTGCTAAGGCAGTTCTGGCTTGAATCTAAGAGTCAAATACGGGCCCGCTCCACAATCAACAAAAAAAGCAAACCATTTCAAGATGTGACAAAACAACAGCCTTGCTAGGGATGGGTGCATATGTCAATTATGGTTTCTCATTTTTCCATGCTCAAATTCAGCTCTCCACATTTCCACGCCACACTTTGCAAATTATTGTTTTTTTAAGCCCTTGTGAAAATCCCTCAGCATTTTAGTGTAGATTTCTTCCAGCATGTATACCTGTGTATGCAACTTTCCCCGATATGCACATTTTTTTGCAACACATTTTACCCTCATTTATGCATTTATTTATTTTTTTGGTACAACATTTTCACAAATATATGCATGTTACCCTAGTGAAGTGCTTTTTCACACTACTTGCCTGGAGAACTGCATTGCAAAGTTCAGAGAAATGCAAATTTCAAAAGATGGCTGTGCTTCGGTTCACATGTTATTCTGGAAAGTGCGGTTCTGGAAAATGTGGTTCACTGTTAAATGCAAGCTGCATGGAATGTCGCCTCCATACTTAGTCCTCACATGCAGCAAAAGATTACAGGCACAAACCAAGAGTTGGGTACTGGGCAAAATCCCATAGGACAGGCCCTGTGCCTTGAAGCAGAGCAAGCAAGCAAAACAGGAAGGACCCTAGACTGTAGGCTCGTTCAGCAAGTTGGATGGACAGTTTCCTTATGCACAGGATTGTTCCCACCTCTGCTGTGGACTCTCCTCTCCTGCCCCTCTCCAAAGTTTAAATTTGGAGCTGCTGCAAGTGAAGCAAGATTTCCAGCTTACGTCTGAAAATCCAGAAAAGGAAGGAACTTTTTATCATATGTGGTGGGAATGTAAAAAAGTGAAAAAAACTTCTGGGAGATGATATATAATGAGATGAAAAAGATGTTGAAATATACATTTATTAAAAAACCAGAAGCATTTTTACTTGGCATTATAGGGGATGATATTAATAGACAGGATTGTAAGTTGTTTTTATATGCAATGGTGGTGTAATAAGAATAGGGGTTGCTCGTGCGTAAGTTGCCGCCACTCCTGGCTAGGTTGCCTGGTTAAGCCTTTCCTGTCCGGACAGCCCTCCACTTCATGGCTGTCTCAGTCGCTAGAAGAATCGGTCAGTGGGTGTCTCTTAAACCTTTTCCAGCATAAAAGCTGTTTGACGCCAAGTCTCCTCCTACTCTCCCTGCGCGGAAGTCTTCTGCGCAGGGAGGGTGTGGGTAGCGGAGGACCCGTGCTCTCCCCGCTGGTCCAGGGAGTCCTGGAGCTCCCTCGCCGATTCCCCCATCTGCCCCCCTTTATCCCTGGTGTTACGCTGATTTCCTTCCCCAGCTGATGAGCTGCCTCTCTCCCTGCTGGGCCCTTCTCCAGCATCACTTGGGAGCCTAGCCTCCGCCTCTGGCTCCAATGTCAGTTCCCTGACAGGTGGCAACAAGAATATTATTGGCACAAAAATGGAAACAAGAAGAATTACCGACGAAAGAAGAATAGCAAATGAAATTAATGGACTATGCAGAATTAGATAAATTAACAGGAAGGATTAGAAACCTGCGGGATCAGAGATTTCTAGAAGACTGGAGTAAATATTTGAACTATTTGAAAAGCAACTGTAATAAACAGATTACACTAGTAGGATTGCAAGAAGTTTTGTAAGGAGGACTATTTGAAACATTGCAAGAAAGACTATGAGAAGTTATGTTAAATGATTGTTGGAAATGATATCTTAGAATAACCAATAAAAATGTATGTATATGTATGTATGTGTGTACGTGTGTGTGTGTACACACACACACACACACACACACACACACACACACATATATATAATCCAGAAATAGTGCCATGTTTGGGGGGTGAAACACAAAGTTACTGTGCAAAGTTACTCGAGGCCTAGCTTCAACCCTGGAGATACTTTATTACACATCTGATACAGATGCATGGTGCAATGGCTGGAGAATGGAAAGGGACTCATGGCTGGCTCTGCCATTAGGCTCAGGTGTTGGATGTTGATGAGGAGAGGGGTGGCTCACCCCAGCCATTCTGCTTGAACTCTCCCAGCTACTCCCATCCTCCAGAGCCAGCACAGCAATGCTTTCTTGCTTTCATGCCTAGTCATCTTCTCCCTGAGAACAGATCTTTGACCAAGTGACCAGGCAGAAAGGCCACCTGACAAAGCTGTACCCTCCACATGGCTCTGTGAGTGAGAGGTGATGAGGCATTGGGAGGTCAGGTTTGATTTCCATTCCACCCTACATGTGCAGTGGAAGACCTTTCAAGTCAACTCTCAGTCCAGTTGAGTCTTCCTGTACATGGAAGGGAGAGGAGGCAGGCGACCAAATGCTGGCTCTCAATTGGCTGCTTTGACATGATGGAAATAGATGCATCAGGCCAATGGCCCATTTTGGTTCAGCATCCTGTTCTCACAGCGACCAACCAGACAGCTGTGAGAAGCCTACAAGCTCGATTTGAGCTCAATGGAGCTCTGCCCGCTGTGATTCCTAGCAACTGGTTTTTACAAGCATAATACCTCTGACAGTGGAGGCATGTTCACCTTGCCCTCTGTGAATTTTGGAGCTGTCCAAAGGATACAGAATGGATACAGATGTAATAAACAAAGGGCAGCAGAAGGCGAGAGAGCTAGGAATGGGAGAGGGAGAAGAATGTAGTGATCAAATGCCAATAAAGTGCATAAATGAATTGACTGAGAGATACACCATAATATATGTGATGTGATTTGCAAACGCATCAATGCCTGCTTGCCCTCTGCCCCCTTCTTCCCCTTCTATAATCTGGCAGCCACACGGCATGGAATGACATAACAGAAAATCCAGATATTTTGTGCAGGGAGAGAGAGATGGTTGGTAGAAAAGGAAGGGGGGAAGGGAGGAATCTTGCAAAAAGTACTGGTGGTGGAGGGGGGGAGAAAGACCCCTGTGAAATGTGGCAGACATAAAAGAAAGTGAAGGAAAGTTTTTTTCTTTTTTTTAAATTACCATAGGGGTAGCAGACAGGACACCTGCTAAAGAACCTTCTCCTGCCAGTCACAGCTGGAAGGGAAGAATGAAAGGGATGCAAACAACTCTCCCAGAAGCATGAAATCGGGGTTTTGTGTTCCCCGCTCCCCCTTCTCTCCCCTTTATGAACAGTTACAGTATGCAAAAGCGAGCGGGAATTGGAACACAGGGCGGCGTGGGGAGGGTGGGGGGGGGGAGGAAATTCATCAGGTTCTACATATAAAAAGCGGAGGCTCAGGAAGCGTGCCTCTTTGAAAACAGAACCATGTTTGGGAGCTTCCTGGTGAACCGCAGAAAGCAGTAATTAATGCATAATGAATTACTCCGAATGGAGCCTGAATAGGGGCATAACAATGGGAAGAGGGATTTCTCCCTCTCCCTCTCCCCCCTCCTTCCCCCTTCTCTTTTAGTTTATAAAATGTTGAAGAAAGGATGCTGTTAAAAGATGGCCACTGGGAAGCGAAATGCGTCCGTCTGCGCCCCTTTCAAGACTGCGGTGGGGCTTGTTTTGTGTGGGTCTCCAAATGCAATCGAGTTAATTTGCAGCAATTTCATTTCGTGCATGCATTGAAGGTTTTTCTTCTTCTTCTCCATTTTTTTATTTTTAACAAGGGGCATTGGGCTCTTTGATGGTGCTTTTGAGCCAATGGTTCGCCTAAAGTTCAGATGATGTTAGCGCCACCCCCTTCTCTCCCTCTCCCTCCCTCCCCCATTTATACAACATCAAGAGGATTGCAGAGAATAACTTTGTTGCCCAACATCAAGGATCTACCTTCAGGCTACTAGAAAGGTAGTTCTCAGAAAGTGTCTCTGTCTTCTAATATTTTAGAACCTCCACGGGCTTCAGATAAAACAAGTATTAAATACAAAAAAGCCTGCCAGGATCTTGAAGAAGGTTAAACTCACAGAGCCTCCATGTCAAAAACCTGAAATGTTGTGTGTGCCTGCTTTTTGCAAAGATGGCTGGAGTGTTATCTTAGTGATGAGAGCACTCAGATGAGCTGGGGTGTGTGTGTCATTTTGTTTAAAGGCAGGTGATCTATTTTAAATGGATCATGGAGAATGTGCATTTTAAACAGAAAGCGCTGTCATGGAAGAGTTTTGCACTTTCCCTTCTTTTCTTTCTTTCCCCCTTTCATTCATTCCTTTCTTTTCCTTCTGCATCTTTCCACTGTGCAGGGTCCCCCCACCCCCATTTTGATGCCTGAAACAAAGTACAGCAGCTATTGTGTCTCTTCTTCTTCTTTTAATTCTACAAACACTAGGTAATTTAGGGCTGAGATCACAGCTCATTTTTCAAGCCCAGGTTTAGCACACAGGTAGTCCCAGTCTTAGCCTTTTTTTAATGTTCAGTTATCAGGGTCTCAGATAGCCACAGCTAATGGCAAAGACCTCTGTACCAGAACTTGGAGAGCTAGCCAGAATAGTCAATACTGGGCACAGCAATGTGGGGTTCGTGCCCATTGCAACTCATGGGGCAGAAAGCAGGGGAATGAACAGTAGGTGGAACCAGAGTCAATGACAGGCAGAGTCAACGCTCCATCTTCCTCCCAGCTGAGTTCAACAAGTGCAACGCTGGCACTAAGGGGGGAGGAAAACCACAGCCAGTGCCATTCCGTGGGTGGGTTGTAAGTAACAAGGCAGAGCAGGTGAAGGGGGGGGGGGGGAAGGCTCTGTCCCAGAAGGACTAATCAAAATGCCATGAAGGTATGAGGAAGCATTTGAGGTCTCCAGGACTCTTAATCAAACTGACCGTTGAGCAAAAGTGGGGGTGGGATGGGGGAAGAAGAAGCTGGGCATGGCATTGTCGCTCCCACATCTGTGGTTTGCTACAATCTTCAGATGGAACGCAGGAGGAATTTTTTTTTTTTTGTGAGTGTGTGTTCCGCTTACATGCCAAAATGGTTTCTAAGTGGTTTAGAAGAATCAAATCAGTTATGAAATCCATGCGTAATTAAAACGCACAAATCCATCCCCCTACAATTCCATCAAAAACAGGCCTTCTGGTGGTTCCCTCATTGTGAGAAGCAAAGCTATAGGGAGCCAGGCATAGGGCCTTCTCGGTAGTGGCGCCCGCCCTGTGGAACGCCCTCCCATCAGATGTCAAAGAGATAAACAACTACCTGACATTCAGAAGACATCAGGGAAGTTTTTAATGTGTGACATCTTAGTGTATTTTTGGTCTTTGTGGAAGCCACCCAGAGTGGCTGGGGAAGCCCGGCCAGATGGGCAGGGTACAAATGATAAATTTATTATTATTATTATTACGGTTAAAAGAGCAGTTAAAACCATTAGATCAGGAAGTTCAAGACCAGGAGAATGCCTGACTAAACAGGTGGGATGCCATTGTTCATGGGACCTATCGTATTTTGGCTGCAGCAAAACTAACCAGTTTTCATTTGCTGATCTGAATAATATCGACAATTGGCCTCAGTGCAAGCTAGACTGCTTGGAGGATGCGACCCAGGGCTACAGGGACAAAGACTCAAGCATTATTTCCATTCAGGAAACCCCCAATTCTGGTTACTACTATATTTTATCGCACCATTACACTGTCCTTCATGCAAGAAACTCAGGGCAGGATACATAGTTCAGGAATGGATATATGGCCTATAATGGGTACGGTCATCATATGCCCTCTGAAGGTCCAGGTTTGCAGCTTGAGGCTGGATTGAGCGTTGTGCTAAGAGCAGCCCTGTTGCATCAGACCCATCTAGTCCAGGATCCTGTTTTCACAGGGGGAAACCAGATGTCTACTGGCAGGACACAAGCAGGACCTGGGTATAAAAGCACATTCCCTGCTTGAGATTCCCAGCAACTGGAATCCAGAGGCATGCAGCCTCAGACAATTAGAGGTAGAACAAAATTCTCACTGCTGGCAGTTCGCTTTTAAAGCCATCCAAGTTGGCAGCCGTCATGACCTCTTGTGGGATGGAGAGCCATCATTTAGTTTTGCACTGTGTGAAAATGTACCCATAAGCTTAGAAAGCTGGTGTGAATTTCAACCTGTCTTAGTGTTTTAACTTTTTGTATGCTTTAAACTACTGCTGTATTTTTCCTCTTGATTTTCTTCTTGTTGTTTTACAATCAAGCTGTGCACAAATTCTATGAAACAAACAAACAAACAAACAAACAAACAAACAAAAAACAAACACTTTCTTTGGACCATCCTGAACAGTCAGAAACGTTCTGTACTTTTTCTTTTCTTTTAGCAAAATGGACAGATTAGGTTTGGCTGAAATGTTATTGTGAACTCTCTCTCCCCGCCCGCCCCCCAGCAGTTTAAACTTACCAAGCTGCTAGGCTGTTTTGTCCAGCATCTTTAGGGTGTGACAAGTCTCCTCATCAGTTTTTGCTGCCAGAGATTTCGCATGGCTGTTCTTCTGGACATAACCTGTGTGTGTTTGTGGGGTGCAGCGAGCTGTCCAGTGCTCCAATTGTCTGAATTCAAAATGCGCTCCAGTGTTAGCCATAATGACCCAGAATTTAGGAACACACCAATGCATCCTGAAAACACTTCACAGGGCAAGGGCTTCTGCTTATCGGATGATATTTCCTCCCTATGATTTTTTTTTTTAATTATTCGAAATCAGTGCCCCATTCCACTCCACTGTAATTAATATGTGCACGTAATAATAGGCAGATGCCTCACACCAAACTGAAGGGGTGTGCTAGTATTTGAAATGCTGCCCATTATTTCTTAGTCTAGTGTCACTTAGGAAATTCCTAGTGTTTTAATGCTGGTGAAACCTATTATTTGCCGGGGTGTGTGTGTCTAGTGGAAAGAGACAGTTTAACTCATCC